GTAATTCACCTCTTCAGCTTACTCCTATCCTGAGCGATATCAGAAAGACAGACTAGGAAGCTGAGACATACAATATATCTATTACACTACAAAGGTAATTTTAAAAAGCAGTTTTATATATTTCAGAGAAGCTTCTGCCATACTACTATACTTGCTATCTCTTTTCCTATCTGTCCAAACCCAAGCTCAACAGAAATGGATACCATTTAGCTCTGTTAATGGTCATAATGACAGCATTTGTGCCTTACAGTCTCAGGTCAGAACTTACTGATGGGAGTTGCAGTCATTCGCTGATGAGCTGGCAAGGGAGAAGCACCCAGACACAAAGGAACCCACTGGAACGTGTCTAATTGTAAGTCTCTAAGTATCCTTTCTAATTCTGGAGCCATGTGACTGGCCTTCACACAGCACTGCTGACCCGGTCACCCTGAGCGCTATGTGGCTGGACCACAAAGGGTGGGGACGCTCCTCTTGCTCCTTCATTAAAATATTGTGTTACACTCTCAGAGCGAGCTATTTCCTGAGAGACAGCGCACTCAGCACCTGAGAGAACTTAACTATTCCTGTCCAGATTTATTCCAGGGTCTTAAGAGGCTTTTTCACCATATAGAGTGATCTATTTGGTATCACAAAGGTGTATACTCCTTTAAAAGACAAACAGCACACATACTCTTAAAATATGTCCTTTCCAACCTGATGCTAGAATATTACAGATTTGAAATATTTTCTTCTTTGATTTAAGTGGAGACAGTAAAAACAGGGAAGAACAATCCCCCTCTGGCCCCAAAGCACAGCTAAATGGAAGACTGGAGGGTGTTTTGAGACGGGCACCAGGATATGCTGAAGTGCTACGACATCCTCCTCACCCTTCCCAACCACTTCTGTCTTTCTGTAAAGCACACAATAAGAAATCACTGTCAAAGACTGCCACTAAAATAACCTTTAATGTCAAAGTAAAAGCACATATTGAAATAGAAAAGGATTTAAAAATATACTAGGCAATGCCAAATAAATATATTTTTGTTTTGAAACCAAAAATCAATGGGTTCTGGAGCCTGACTGCCTGGGCTCAAATCCTGGGTGTGCCGCTTAACATCTGTGTGACTTGAAGCAAGTTCCTCAGCTGCTCTGTCCCCTCAGTTTCCTCATCTGGAAAATGAGAACATTAATAGTTCCTTTCTCCTAGCTTATTATGAGAATTAAGCACCATGTGTTTATTAAATAAATAAAACCTATGGGATGCATATCATATAAAATTGTGTTTAGAGACCACCTCAAGTAATCTTATAGTATTTCCTACTGGCTGACAACTAACATTTTATATGTTAAAATCAGTACCTCAACAGGATAGGATTAATTTTCTTGGTTCATGTCCAGATGGAATCAAAGAAGCATTATGAGGGAGACAGACCTCATGGTCTCATCGTCTCCTTTCCTTTGCACCCTCCTCAGAGTTCACTTTATCCAGTACAGTCAGACCTCCCTGTCCACTGCCAAAGAACCAGCAGAAGCCAGTGAACAGAGCTGGGACACTAGGCACGTGCACTTGTTTTATTTACCACTTTTCTTGGGTAAGTATCACAACATTTATTAATACAGCTGGAATTTTTTTTTCCTTGAATCCTAATACTTTGGCCCCGAGTGCTTGGCTAAGGGAATTCAATTGTGTGGACTACTGTGCAGTCAGCATTCTAGTCTGGATTTCCATAACAGGCTCAATACCTTTGTGTCTACTTCCTTACCTCTGCAGAGGGATGTTTTAATGCAGAACTTTTTAAAAGCCTTCTCATTGATTACTTTAAAAATTTATGGAGACATGTTTATTAATGATTTGGTAAAATTTTCTCAAGTTGAACATACACAACACCACCACCAACAACAACAACCAGCTTTACAATTACCAACTCAGACCTCTGGCTCTATAGACATGTGGCATGAGAGAAATTAGTTCAAAAGAAAGAACAAAGATATGAGACCAGGCAGCCTAGAATAGTGGATGTACCTAGTCTAGGAGTCAGGCAATTTGAATTCTGGTGCAGGATCTGTCACCAGGTAAATCCAACCCCACCAAACCAGGACTCAGATTCTTTGCTGTAAAACATGGTTATTTATGGCCCCCTTCGAGCTGGAAAATGTCATAATTCTTCAACCTACAATTCCTCTGGTGCTGCAACTTCTCCAAAGCACCAAGAAGGCAGAGAAGGTAAAGAAAGATATGAAAGTTATTCTAGTTTCTTTAAAATCTCTTAAGGGGCCAGCCTGGTGGCATAGTGGTTAAGTTCACATGCTCCGCTTCGGCAGCCCAGGGTTCGCAGGTTCAGATCCCAGCGCAGACCTACACACCGCTCATCAAGCCATGCTGTGGCAGACATCCCACATAAAATAAGAGGAAGATGGGTACAGATGTTAGCTGAGGGCCAATCTTCCTCAGCAAAAAGAGGAGGATTGGCAACAAATGTTAGCTCAGGGCTAACCTTCTTCACCAAAAAAAAAAAAAAAAATTTCTTAGGATCCTTGAGCCCCCTCTAATTTTTAACCCTGAATAGAGACATATACCACAAAACAAAACCTCCTCCATCTATCACCACTTATTATCTTATGCCAACTGAAAGAACACAAATGGGGTGCCCCACCACACTGCTCTGTCCACGTCACTAGCAGTCCTCAGGAAGGGTGGAATGACCACCTAACAGGAATCAAGTGGAAGTGTGCCAGAGCTGGGTGAGAAGTCCAGCTGGCTCATCTCTAAGATGCTTCTCATTCAGTACTAGAATTCGGTCTTATCACTGGACAAGATCTCATGGTTTGACAACGTAGGTGACGAAGCTGAAACTTGATCTCGAGACAGCCTGAAGTATACTACTATCTAAATTTGAGATGCTAAAATACTATAACTTACCCCAATACTCTCTTTTAAGTATCTAACTCTGCCCTACTAATGACTGGCACCCATGCTGACTCCAGTAAGTGAGCAAACCATACATTTGATAAACCTCTCACCCAATTCCTTCCTGTTCTGACTCGCTGATGTTCGCCTCTTGTCTTTATTTACTTGCCCTCCCTGTGGCTCCTGCAGCAAAGCCCCTCAGCCCAAAATGCTTCAGCTCCCCATCCTATTTTGGGTCTGTAATACAGACAGCTTCTACTCACCCCAGAAAGTTGGACTGGAATTTCAAGGAAATTATCTGCCTACCTGTGCTATATATATATACCTGTGTGCTATCACAATTTACAGTTATCAGAGATGATGGTGAAATGAAAGGACTAAAGTGGCCCCTCCACTCAGAGATGCCCCCCTCAGGGACACCCCCTCTCAGGGACCCTCCCTCAAAGACACCCTCCCTCTCAGGGACACCCCCCTCTCAGGAATATGGGAAGTCTGAACATGGGCTTATCAGCTCATCACTTCTGATTCACACCTTTACTCAAGCCCCTGCTTTGTACCAGGCACAGGTACAGGTGCTTTCATCTATGTTAACTCTTTAAATCTCACAGCCACACAGCAAACTGAACATCATTAACCCCATTTTGCAAATAAATAAAGCAGGTTTCAGAGAGAATAAGTGGTTTGCCCAAGTAATTCAGACCAAGGCCTTCTGCTTTTGAGATCTATGTTCTTTTCATTATCTCACTGTGACCCAAGAAGACGACCAACACCCATGGTCCATTTCACAAGGAAATGTAGAGCTACAAAGTTATAATGTGCCAGTTTTGAATGTTCTCATCCAATGAATTATGAACCTATAAACTGGTTATAGAAAATGCTTAATATAGGACCGACTGCTCATAAAGAGAGCTTCATTGGAAACTTGTAATATGAATGCTGACTCTTAAAAAAGCACTTGACATTTTTTCATACAGCTTTAAAATAGTTTATCCCCATTCAACCTCCCCTCCACCTCCCCCAACACACCCACTGACACACTTTAATTCAGGAAAAATATATCAAAACTAAACTCATAAAATCATTAAGAAGTTGAGCATTCTCTGCCCACTGACGGAGATGCTAAAGGACAGGTAAAAGACCCAAGGATGATGAGCAAGAAGAAATGAAATGCTGGATAATCCATAAATAGACAGGGAATCACTAAATGACAGGTATGGCGCATATTCCCTAGATAATTTGTCATTTTTTCTCTCAGGTAGACTTAAATCCTAAGGTAGAGTGAGAACATAAATATTTATAGCCTTGACCAAGGTATCAGCAGTATCAGGCATCCCTGTAATCAGAGCCTTCCCGCACCATCTCAGGAACAGGAAGACCACCCGGCAGAACAGCACCTCACAGAGCAAAGGGCTGGAACAGGCTTTGGTGACCACCTAATTCAACCCCTGCAATTGACCATTAAGGACTCTCTGGCCTAATGACACGACCTGCTCCACGTCACTGACCAGTGTCAGCGCCAGCACAAAAGCCACGCTCTCTTGGTGTTCTTTCCACAGCACCATGCCTCTGCTGCCCAAGCTGCATCTCGGAGCTCCTCTTCACCCACAAATGTCTGTTCAGGACCCAATTTACATAGGGTAATCCAGGAAATACCACCAAATAGAATGACCTCAGCTTACCAATTTGGCAAACCACTAAAGTGTACTCTGCCTGCCCCTAAAACCCAATTACTTTTTTTGTGTGTGTGAGGAAGATCAGCCCTGAGCTAACATCCATGCTAATCTTCCTCTTTTTGCTGAGGAAGACCGGCCCTGAGCTAACATCTATTGCCAATCCTCCTCCTTTTTTTCCCCAAAGCCCCAGTAGATAGTTGTATGTCATAGTTGCACATCCTTCTAGTTGCTGTATGTGGGACGCGGCCTCAGCATGGCCGGACAAGCGATGCATCGGTGTGCGCCTAGGATCCAAACCCGGGCCGCCAGTAGTGGAGCGCGTACACTTAACCGCCAAGCCACAGGGCCAGCCCCCCAATTACTTTTTACTCATGTCATTCACTTATATCCACAGAAACTGGCCAAATGCTTTTCAAATATATTCCACACTCAGATTTCCTAAAAAGAAAATGCTACAAAAAACTACCAGGATGAAATTGATGAGATTGGGACTAGTACCTTCCCCAGAAAGCAATCTCCGGGGTGCCTTTCATGTAGATGGAGTCACCGGCATCATTCAGCCCGTTGGTGAGCCCACCAGAATAGGCCATCACTATTCCGCCATCTGCCGAGACGCTCAGGATGTCCTGCGGTCCTCCCACTGCCATCCTCTCCAGAAACTGACTGCCTTCTTTAATGCGCTGCTGGATCATTGGAGTGAGGGGCATTTCAAAGCTGAAACAGCTATCAGGCTCTGAGTATAATGTCTCCAAGGACTCAGCACTGTAGTATAAAGAAGTGTTGTCCAAAATGGTTTCAAACTGGGAGCTATACACATCAGTGGCATCCTCTGCATACCCCGGCCCAAGGGTATCATCATCTCCTGCCCTAAAGTGCTCTTCTTGCTCAAGAGTCCTGGAAAGCAAATAAGAGCAAAGAATTTCAATATTAGGTTAATTTTTCTTTTTAAGATAACATGTTGTAGAGCTAACATTTGTATTCCCGGGGCTTATGTCTTAATATATTCGGGAAAAAAGATATCATAGAAACATATTCCAGTTGCAAAAACTCTTAGCATACATGTGCTACACTACCTTCTAAATAATTTAATATAGTTTCAAACTAGTTTCCTAGTATGTGAATACATGTGGTCCAATAAATATTTGAATAATATATTAAATTGCCATTTTAGCCAACTAAACTCCAAATTATTTACAACTACCATCATTCTTAATTTTAACAGAAACAGATTAATATACTGTGTAAACTTAATGGAGTAAAAATACACTGAACTTTCATCAGTCTATTAATACTTTCTGATTTAAATAAGACCAAATGCCCTCAAGAGGATGAATACATTAGAATCCAAAGGCTGCCCCCTCCTGACAAGAAGGCAGCACTGCAGAGAGATTTCAGGTCCAAAATTAGCCACTGAACGACCTTAAAAAAAAAAAACAAAGCCAACAGACATGTTTATTGCAAGGCTAACCAAAACAGTGAAAACCTAGAAACAACTTACAAGTTAATATACAGGGGTGGAGCATTAATTAATATGCAGCATGTTCTTCACATATTAAAAATGAACATTAGGTTAACTAAGTAAAATTTAAAAACTCAGTAAGAGCAAGCACTCAAGAGTTAGAAAAATCTGGAGCTGAATTCTGGATGTGCCAATTACTAGCTATGTCACTTTAGGCAACTGAACGTCTCTGAGCCTCAGACTCCCATAAAACGACCTCATAAGTTATTCACATTTCTAGGTATTACCAGGACTTACATTCAATAATACAGCTGTCTTTGTTGTTTTTAAATTACCGAAGGTCTACCATACACCAAATACTATTCTGGGTTTATAACTCCTTAATGGCTTCTCCCTGCACTTGGAATAAAACGGAAAATTTCCGTGATGAAGCTCCTCCTTACCTCTCCACATTCATTGCCCACCACTCTTCCCCAGCTCCTTAAGCTCCAGCCACGCTGGTGGAGTTTCAAATCTTCAAACTCACCCTAAGGTCTCTGCTTTGCACAACTCCAGGAAGCACAGGGAGTTAGGCAGTCCAGCAGCCCTCCTTTGCATACTATTCCCTCTGCTGGCATTTTCTTCCTCCCCATTCACTGCCTGGCTAACTCATATTCATTCCTCAAGTCTCAGCCTAATTATCATGTCCACAGAAAGGCCTTCCCCAAGCCATCAACTGAATTAGCCTCTCTCCTGCATTCAAATTATTGTTTCTAGTATGTCTCTCTTCTTTCCCTTCACAGCACCTACCACAAGTTGTGACCCTAAAATTATTAATGTGTTTATATGGTCAGTGTTTATCTTCAGCAGTAAACTCCATGAGGGCAGTGACCACAGGCCATATCTATTCTGAACAGTCGTTTATGCCCAGTATCTAGCAGTGTCAAGGACATAACAGACAATCGAAAAACATCTGTGGAAGGAAAGGAGGGAAGGGGGGAGAGGAGGAATAAATTAACAATCTGCACAACAGCCCAAGTGCTTATTCCAGTGGGAATATAATTACTGAGCCATGTGCACATATCAAGGCTGCTTTGAGGGAAGCCTGGAGGTTTTATGTGTTGGGGGGGAGCGGGCAGTGGCGAGGAGCCATCCTAAGGACAGCTATCCTAAAGGAGCAGCATGCTCAGTGGACTCCTCTAACTGTAGAGGAAAAGGCGTTTCCTTCCAACAAACAAAACCCTTCAGCCTAGACATGCATGTTCTCCCATATAAACCATAAAATGTGGTGTCCTGAGGACTCATGGAAGAAAAGAGAGTACAAACTCAAAGTAACAGTACACAACAAATGACTTTGCCAAAAGGAGTACTGTATGGTCAGACTACAAGCAAAGGAAGTGAAAAAGATTGGTCATATCTTCTGTTTATCCAGGCTCTAAGCTAGTATGGATGTCAGAAACATATGGAAAGACCAGGAAACACCATATGATGCCCAGTTTACCTATCAGGGCCATAAGCAAAACGTATGCTATGTGTGAGAAGGGATTCTCATTTGAATGCCATGGAATGAATGAATTATAGACGCTAGTTCTGGCCTCCTGACCTGCTTTCTAAACCTAGAAAATTGAGTCAGCCCAAACCCAGAACCTCTGTGTTCAAACACGTAGGTAGGCAATATGTGGGCATTGGCATTGCACCCAGAAGAAGCCTAAGTTGGAAGGTAATGACTAGAGGATATATCAAAAGAGTCCAAATCTTTTCACATTATTAAACATAACTGTGGGTGTTTTAGTTTCCTTGATGTTGGAAAACTTGAAACCAAATGGATTCAACAGTTTAGTGTTCACAGCCTTTCCATAACTCTGCTTCCCTGGTCTACGCCTAAGGGACAGCTTTATTACAAGATCACTTTAATATCTTAAAACCTTGGAAGGAATCTAGCTTACAGTAACTTCTTCTCCATTCTATGATAACAAGGATCCAGGACACTGAGCTGAGTTCTCACAGACAAGCACAGGATAACGGTTTCCTATAATATGTACCAGGCGTCAAAGACAACAAGACTACTATGGGAGCTCACCTTTCCTTGTCTCTCTCCAGCACAGGTTTCTTAAGATGTTCTTTGTTTTCCTTTAGGAAGACTTCATCCTCTCCACTCTCAACTAGAGGCACAGGGGAAAACGTCCCTGAGCTGGTGCCAGGCCTCTCTGAAGGTGCTCTCCAGGTTTCATCGCAAACACTCTCAGTTAAACCAACTGAACCATGCAAAACAGCAGACGAGACGAGATGGCCTGGCACTTTGGAAAACTCTTTGCTTTCAAGAGAGGTGGTCCTTTCCAATGATGTCTCATAACCTACAGGATGCCATGTCTCTCCTTTCTCCCCTCCTGTCCACAATATTTCCACCCCTTGGAATTCCACATGTTTGACTCGGCCTGGGCGTCCTGTGGAGCTGCCTCGATCACATCCCCCTGGGTGCTCTCTCCCCAGATCAGACCTTCTCTCTCTCAAAAAACCAACACTGCCCGCAGAGTTGTGGGTCGCTGCTGGGCTCCCTATGGAGGAAACTGGACAAGCGGGCTCCTGCACATGGAGAGCCCCTTTTCTCCCATTAGTTATCTGGGAAAGCTCTGCCTGAGTTTCTGCAGTTAACAGTACAGTCAGATCCTTCTGGATGCTTGAATACAAATTTCCCTCCCTCGTAACTTCAGCTGAAAGAGGGATATCCGGTGATTTTTCTTGGCCAGCAGGGAACAGTGCGTTGGCTCTCTGTGCTTTATGACCGGCAGGGTCCAGCTCTTTTTCCACCTGCTGAACTGACAAACGAGAAACAGCATCTTTGTCCAGTACTTTTGTAGCCTGTAATGTTCCTGAAGCTATTCTGGATTCTGGAGCCTTCAGAGCTGAAATCAAAGAGTCAATGGGTTGTAAACTTTGTTCCTTGAGGTGATTTTGAAAGGGGGCCTCTCCGACATCTCTTGGTCGTTCTGTAACACTGTCGAACCCAGAGTGGTGGCCAGCAAGAAGCTGGACCTCCTGCTGCCCTTGTGGGCAACATGGCAGAGACTTTGCATCAAACTTGAGAGAAGCTCTTACGCTTTCTCCACTTTCCTCCATGGTCCCATATTCTGGAAATTCATTTGTGACATTCGGTGGGAGTAAAGTGCTTCCTCCATGATCACCTATGAATAGAACAGAATGGACACATGACTTGTTTTGAACAAGAGGTTCCAATGTGTATTAATAAATATCCACACAAATTAGGCACTCAATATCCTTATTTGATTCTTTGACTGTCTCCTTCCCCCTTACCACTCTGCAACACATACTTCTCATAATCTTGCCAGTGGTCCCTTCCACTTAGCTTACATGAGTGTAACCACAAAGGTTTTGGCATAGAAGGAGGCAATATAATGACACACGCCATATTTAACCCTGCTTCTGATAAAATCTCACACAGGCAACTCAGTTGCTGCGTATGCAAAAGGAGATTAAAATAAGGATATGTATCATTTTCCAAATACTACTCATGAAACAGCAACTAAAATATTTATCTTGGGCATAACAACAAATAGCTTTACAATCCAGCCAACAATATCTGTGCAGTGCAATCTCTGAGACAGAGCCTCAGAAAAAAGATACAATCTATTTAAAGTCAGTAAATAAGCCTACCCTTCACTGTTGGATTTCTGTGGGAGAAAATAAATGCTTTCAGAACATCCCTGGAGAATGAGCATAAAGTCAAAATGGAATAGGAAACTGAACGTGTTGAGAAAAATTTCCAGGATCTCAACTGCAAAAAATTTAAATGGTATCTTATGCAGAATCCCAATAAATGAAGCACTGAAAACAATAATTAGCATATATTTACTATATTGGATCAAATTTACAACATTTTCTTATTAAAACAGCAGTGGGAGGGGCTGGCCCGGTGGCGCAGTGGTTGGGTTCGCACGCTCCACTTCCATGGCCCAGGGTTCGCGGGTTCAGATCCCAGGCGCAGACATACTACATCACTCATCAGCCATGCTGTGGCAGCGTCCCTTACACAAAACAGAGGAGGATTGGCACAGATATTAGCTCAGGGACAATCTTCCTCACCCAAAAAAATGGCAGTGGGAGAAAACAATGACGTTCTGATGAACAAAAATTTAAATTGGGGGTTTATGGATAACAGATACAGTCATATCAGCCCCAGCATCCAATTTCCTTCTGAACTTGGTTTTGATTACTTTGTATCAGGAAAATCCTCATCCATACTAGAAACGTAGAGGACTCACTGTGACAACTTTATAAAAGAAGACATTTGTTGTTGTTGTTGCTGCTGTTTTTAAAGCACTGCGAGCTCCAACCTTCCTATTTAGTGAAATATTTGATAAATGCCTGAGTATATACATGGAACCGACATGAAAGACTTCATTCCAAGGCATGCACAAAATAAGGTAACTTGGACACATGAGTTAACAAACACATGGCATCGTGCAGAGTGCAAAATTTGATAAACAGTAATACATCTGAGAGTGTATACTGTTTCATATTTCATTTTTAAAATAGCTTGAAGTATATTTTTAAAATTAAATTTGAACCAAGCATTGACAGAATCCAAGAAGCACTTCTCTATGATGGCCATAGAGAGGACAGAACTAAGAGGCTCGCTGAAATCTGAAGAGGAAGCGACTTTTCAAATCCTGGTTTTGAAAAGGAAGACAGTTAAAAACAGTAAAGATCCCTCTTCCTAGAGTGGCATATTGACATTTTTAATTTTTCAGTAAAGAATGCAATAAAACTTTTTTTCCCCTTTTAAGATTCAGTGGTTTTTTGGTTTTTAATACATTCACAAAATTGTGCAACCATCACCACCACCTAATTCCAGAACATTTCATCACCTCCCCCACAAAAAAAAAAAACCTGTATCCATTAGCTGTCACTCCCCATTGCCATCTCCTCAGTCCCTGGTAACTATCAATATACTTTCTATCACATAAATGCAATCATACAATACATGGCATTCTGTGTCTGTCTTTGTACACTTAGCACAATATTTTCAAGGTTTATCCACATTGTAGCATGTATCAGAACTTCATTCCTTTTTGTTGCCAAGTAATATTCCATTGTATAGCTATACCAGTTTCTTGATCCATTCATCAGTTGACGGACATTTGTATTGTTTCCACTTTTTGGCTATTATGAATAATGAACATTTGTATACATGTATTTGTGTCTACACTTATTTTCAATTCTCCGAAGTATACACCTACAAGTGGAACTTCTGGGTCATATGGTAACCCTGTTTTTAATGTTTTGAGAAACTGCCAGTTTTCCAAAGCAACTGCACCATTCTACATTCCTACTAGCAATGCCTGAGAGTTTCATTATTGTCCATCTTGTTTATTACAGCCGTCCTAGGGGGTGTGAAGTGGTATCTCACTGTGGTATTGATTTGCATTTCCCTAGTCACTAATTGAGCATCTTGTCATGTACTTATTGGCCATTTATATATCTTCTTTAGAGACATATCTATTCAGATCCTTTGCCCATCTTATAATTGGGTTACTTGTCTTTTTTATCATTGAGTTGCAAGAATACTTTATATATTATGGACAGAAATTCTTTATCAGATATATACTCTGCAAATATTTTCTTCCATTCTATGGGTTGTATTTTCCCTTAGTTGATGGTGTCTTTCAAAGCACTAAAGTTTTAATTTTGAGAAAATCCAACTTTTCTATTTTATTCCTTTTGTTGCTTGTGCTTTTGGTGTGATATGTAACAAATTATTGTCTAATCCAAGATCACAAAGACTTATTCCCACATTCTCTTCTAAAGTTTTACAGCGTCAGCTATCACATTTAGATCTTTGATCCATTTTGAGTTAATTTTTATATATGGTGCGAAGCAGAGATCCAACTTCATTCTTTTGCATGTGGATATCCAGTTGATCCACCACTAATTCTTGAAAAAAAACGGTTCTTTTCCCCACTGAACTGTCTTGATACCCCTGTAGAAAATCAATTCACCTTAAATGTACAGGTCTATTTCCTGACTCCCAATTCTATTCCATTGAGCCAGAAGCCTATCTTGTTGCTGGTATAACACTGTCTAGATTACTGTTAGCTTTGCAGAAAGAAGTCAGGAGGTGTGAGTCCTCCTACTTTGTTCTTCCTTTTCCAGGTTGTTTTGGCTGCTCTGGGCCCCTTGCATTTCCCATCTGAATTTTAGGATCAGCTTGTCCGACAGCTGAAATTTTGATAGAGACTGGGGTGAATCTGTAGAGTACGAGCATCTTAATAGTATTACCATTACATCTTTTGATCCACGACCATAGGCTGTGTTTCCATTTATTTAATTTTCTTTAATTTCTTTTAAGAGTTTTTTATAGTTCTAAATGTACAAGTTTTGCATTATTTTTGTTAAATATATGCCCCTAAATATTTTATTCTTTTTGATACTACTATAAGTAGAATTCTTTTTTTAATTTCATTTTCAGATTATTCATCGCTAGCATATGGAAATACAACTGGTTACGGAATATTGAACTTATATCCTGCAACCTTGCTGAACTTATTACTTCTAAGAGCTTTTTTTGTGGATTCCTTAGGATTTCCTATATACAAGATCACGTCATCTGAAAACAGAGATAATTTTACTTCCTGTTTTTTTTTTTTTTTGGCCAAACTGCCCTGCCTAGAATTTCCAGGACAATGTTGAATAAAAGTGGTAAGAGCAGAAATTCTTGTTTTGTTCCTGATCTTAGGAGAAAGCTTTCAGTTTTTCATCATTAAGTATGATGTTAGCTGTGGGTTTCTCACAAATGCCCTATACCAAAATGAGGAAGATCTCTTCTACTCCTAGGTTTGTTGAGTATTTTTATCATAAAAGGGTGCCAAATTTTGTCAAATGCTTTCTCTCTGTCGACTGAGATGCTCAAGTGGGTTTTGTCTTTTATTCTAGTAACAGAGTGTATTACATTAATTGACTTTTATATACTGAACCAGCCTTGCATTCCCAGAATAAATCCCATTTGGTCATGGTGTATAATCCTTTTTTATGTTCCCAGATTCAGCTTTCTAGTATTTTTGCATCTATATTCATAAATAATATTTGTCTGCAGTTGTCTTGTATTACCTTTGTCTGGTTTTGGTATTAAGGTAATGCTAGCTACACAAAGTGAATTGGAAAGTATTCTATATGGCCATTTGTTTACAACATTTTACACTTTTTTTTAAACATTTTTCACATTTTATGCTTTTTTAGGCTTTTAACAGTTTTCTCTCCCTTAATCACTCAGGGAACTTTAGTTTCTTCAGTATTTTAAAGCTATAAATTCAATGTTAATATGCAATGAAAGGAAAAAAAAGTGAACCATCCAAAAGAATGTTTTTCTTTCTTTAACATAGTAAAATAGCTTAAAGTGGTTACAGAAGTACTTAGTCCACAGTGTGAACTAGCTCCTTTAGGTTTTATAATGTTTTTCATTATTTCTTTAAGCTAGAGTATACCTTTACAAAAACTCGAGGATCCTAGAATATAAAATTTCAAAGGTCGAAGGATCTAAGAATTAATTCATCCATCTGACATAATTAGGTTAGAAAACAGGCTCAAAAGAATGATGTACTTACCAACATGACACAACAGATAAAAATCAGAGCTTGTCTACTCTACCTCTGCTATTCCTTGCAACCCTCCCTTCCCTTCCATCTTTACTGGTAGTGAGGTACCCTAGTATGTGTCTTCAATCTCTTCCCTGAAATTTAAAGAATCGTCTGAAATGGCTATCCAATGTCCAGCCTCATTTTCCCACCTCATCTTACATACAACATTCTTCCTAAACCAAAAATTTATGTTGCTTTCAGTAGTTTCACATTGCCTACAGGATAGTCTAAAGTCCAAACTCCTCATTCTAGAAGTTATTAGGATCCATAATCCAGTCCCAATCTATCTTTCCCAATCTACTCTCTCTTTCTCTCACTCAACTCCCTTTTCAAATATGTTATACCATTGCTTCTCTACCTGAAGGAGGCGGCAATGCACGCAGACCTTGAAAAGGTTCCTCCAATATACAGTGGAAACACAAACTACATGTACACTCTGAGCTTTATACTCCTTTGCCTTTGCTAAACCTCTTTTCTCCACATGACATACTTTTTCTTCCCATCTCTACATGATTAGGTCGTTTTCATCT